CGACGATCTGCATGGGTGGCCATATAACGTCTCGTATAAAGCCATGTTAATACTTTCTTAGTAGTTGTTATTGTAGGTGAACTCTATTAAGGGTAAACAATCATCCTAATGGCTCCTGAAGTCAAAAACATAAGTTCGGAGCATATCCTCCAATGTGCGGATCATCTTTTCTGATTGTCCGTTAGTCTGAGGGTGGAATGCGGTACTAAGAGACAGTTTCGTTCTCATGACTTGCTAAAAACTAGACCAGAGCCAAGAAGTGAACTTGAGGTCCTTGTCGGACACTATTGTCACTAACACTCCATGTAACCTGATTATCTCCCGGATATACATTCTTGCTAACTTGTCTAATGGGTCGGTCATCTTGATGGCCAAGAAGTGAGAAGACTTAGTGGCTGGTCAACAATTACCCAAATGACATCATGTCTCTAGTGTACCCTAGGCAATTTTGTCACAAAATCCATTGTGATGTGTTTCCACTTCCACTCCGGAATTGGTAATGGCTGAAGTAACCCGTGTGGGTGTTGATGCTCTGCCTTGACTTACTGATATACCAAATACTTGAAAATAATGTCGACCACATCTCTTTTCATCCCGTTCTACTAAAGTTGGGGTCGCGTACTTTGATACATCTTAGTAATTTTAGGATGCATGGAAAACTTTGAGTTATGGACCTCGATCATGATATCTCTTTTTTGCTCATTGTCACATGGAACACACACCCTGTCCTAAAATCTAATCAACCCATCAGTAGAAATTCTAAATTCTGAATTCACTCCTTGTTTTGCATCTTTCTTGAGGGTTGCTAAGGTGAAGTCGGCGGATTAGACTTCCTTTATTCTCTGGATCAACTCAGGTTGAACAGTCAGATGGGTCAAGTATGTAACCCTGTTCAAGTCTTGAAGTCGTACATGTTGTGCGTCCCCTATTGCCCTGCATTCTGAAACTATTAAGTGAGTGCCTCAGCTACCACGTTGCCCTTGCCCAAGTGATACAAAATGTTGCAATCGTAGTTTTTGAGGAGTTCTATCCATCTTCTTTAACGCATATTGAGATTCTTTTGAGTGAATATATGTTTCAAGCTCTTATAGTCGGTATAGATCTGAAAGATTTCTCCATATAAGTAATGGCACCAAGTTTTTAAGGCGTAGATAATCGCGGCGAGTTCTAAGTTATGGGTAGGGTAATTTTTCTCATAAATCTTCAACTACATGAACCCATAGGTTATGACATTTCCATGCTGCATTAGAACACAACCCAACTCTAGGTAGGAGGCATCACTATAAACTGTATATTCATCTATTTCGCTCAGTAAGGCCAACACAGGTATAGTAATCAACTTATTCTTTAGTTTTGAAAAACTCATTTTACAGTTCTCGTTGCACTCAAACTCGATGTTTTTCTTTGTGAGGCGAGTCAAACGAGCAGTTAGACTAGAAAATTCTTCCATAAAGTTGCGGTAATAACACTCCATCTCTTGATATGATGTGCCATATGAAGGTAGTCTGTTCGAGCCAAAATCCACACTTACTCAACTTTGCATATAACTTCTTTTTTCTGAGAACCTGCAACACCTGAGTTATATAGTGAGCGTTGTCCTTTTTGCTTTTTGAATAGACCAGAATATTATCGATAAATACAATGACGAACTGATCCATGAATTTTCTAAAAATCTGTTCATCAAATCCATAAAGATGGTTGGTACATTGGCTAGTCCAAATGGCATGACTAGGAATCATAGTGTCCGTACCTGGTTCGAAAAGTTGTTTTAGGAATGTCTTCTGTCTTGATCTTTACTTGATAGTAACCTGAATGCAAGTCTATTTTGGAGAAGACCTGAGCGTCCTGTAATTAATCAAAAAGGTCATCAATCTTAGGGAGGGAGTACTTGTTTTTTATCATGACTCTGTTCAGTCATTTGTAATCAATATATAATCTTAACGTCCCATCCTCATTCCTTACAAATGTGACTTCGGCACCCCAAGGGGACACACTTTATCAGATGAATTCACTAACCTACAATTTATTAATCTATTTTCTCAACTCCTCCATCTCAACACGATTCATGCGATAAGGGGCAACTGAAATAGGTTAGGTGTTTGGCTGAAAATCTATGGTAAACTCAACTTCTCTATCTACTGGCAGTCTAGGTAGTTCATTTGGGAACACATTTAAGAAGTTTCGGACTATAAAAATATCTCGAATACAAATTTCTTTTTTAGGTTTGCCTAATTAGAGAAAATAACCGAATTAAAGTTCTATGTAATATGAAAATTGCTATGAAGGAATAATATTCAAAACTTCTTACAAATGACTCTTTATTACGAGGCTTAAATATAAATTTTTTCGTTGAAATGTTCTACAGTGGCTTGATGCGTCGCTAACCAGTTCATTCTTTAAAATACATCAGGGTCCCCCGTGTTAATCTCTATTAGTCCATCATGGGTAAA